GGTGTCCTGGGTGATGTGTCAAAGGTCACTGGGACCTGTCTCTACACATTCATCAGGGTGTCCTGGGTGATGCTTCAGAGGCCACTGAGACTCGTCTCCTTTTAGGAATGTGCAGGACATTTTCAACAGAAGCAGCTTTGCCTCAATTTTTTTGCTCTCAATTTCACAGTAATCTTTTGACTTGTCCTAATGGCTTTTCTCTTAAAATAATTTTTCTTTGTTAACATCCTTAAACTTTTTGTTTTTCTTGGTTTATGTGTCCAAGGGATCAGGCGATCTAGACCTAGTCACTTGATGTTGACCTTCCTTGCAGGCAGTTATTGGAAAAGGACATGATCTTTAAACTACCTCTGTCTTCCGGCTTTAAGAAGTTGGTTCTTGTGTTTGTGAAATCTGCTCTGTGCTTTCATGCTGACACATACAACATTTAATATTCATCTTTTTCATGGTAAGGAAATTAAAAGGAATTCTCCTAATTAACGTTTCCATAGTTACTGTTTCTCTCTCTCTCACACACACACTTCTGTGTCTGTCTGTGTAGTTAGACACAGATATGTAATTTTTGACCTTTGGTGTCACACTGAGATAGTGAGAGGGAATACATCCTTGGGATTTGGGCCTACAGGAAGCAAACACCAGCACTTAGTCTATTTATTTGCTGCTTTGCACGCCCCCAAAGCTGAGGTCTATCTTAGACTATTAAGGAAGTCGTTTCTGGTAATGACACTTTATTTCATGTGACTTGAGGTTCCTGCGATGAGAAAAATAAGTGGATGAGCTGAAATTGCACAGAGTTCTCTCAGTTTCTCAAAAAAATCTACCGTGGTTCTGCTTCAGAGGCCAACATTTATGTATCTATAATTTTATTGATCCCCAAACCATGGTATTTTATTTTTATCTCAGTTACTAACACACTGCTTCTTAAATAAGGTACATTTTACTTAAAGTTTGAAGATCTGTTTTAAAACACATGTGTTTTTTTTTTTTTGAGACAGTCTCACTATGTCACCCTTGGTAGAGTGCTGTGGCATCACAACTAACAGCAACCTCAAACGCCTGGGCTTAAGCTATTCTTTGGCCTCAGCCTTCTGAGTAGCTGGGACTACAGGTGCCTGTCATAAAGCCTGGCTATTTTAGAGACAAGGTCTCGCTCTGGTTCAGGCTGGCTTCGAACCTGTGAGCTCAGGCAATTCACGCTCCCCCGGCCTCCCAGGTGCTGAGATTACAGGCATTGAGCCACCACGCCCGGCTTTAAAGCACATATTGAAGAATGGGTTATAAGGCACATCAGTCAGATCAGTGAGGGTTCTCCAGAGAAGAGAGAGAGAGAGAGAGATTGAGATTATTACAAAGGTTTGACTCACGCTATTATGGAGGCTGAGAAGCCCCATGACCTGTAGTCAGCAAGCCAGGAACTCAGGAGAGCTCACGGCATAGTTCTTATCCAAGACGGAGAAAGAGACAATGTTTCAGGTAAAGTAAGAAAGCAGGAAAAATGATGTCCCAGCTTAAACACAGTGAGGCAAAAGGAGTTCTCTTTTATTCAGGGAGGGTCAACCTTTTGTTCTACTCAGGGTTTCGACTGGTAAGATTAAATTCACTATATCAGGAGGGCACTCTGCTTTACTTTCTCTGTCAATTTTAATGTTAAACTCACCCAAAACCACCCTCACAGGAACACCCGGAATAATGTGTGACTCAATATCCAGGCACCTGATGGCCTCATCGAGCTGAAACAAAATTATCCCTCACGAGCCCATCCCTTATCAACTCGGCACCCATATACATCTCCTAAATTACACTTAGTCTCCATATGAAGGCAATAGCATGGTCATAATCCCACGTAACATGATGTAAATGTCCTGCGTATGGGTGACATGTCATGGGCAAAATGTTTGCATACTCCTCAAAACTCATACGTTGAAACCCTGCTCCTACTGTGGCTATATTTGGAGAGGGACCTTTAAGGAAGTAATTAAGCTCAAAGGAGGTCATAAGATTTGTAACTGTATAACAAAGGATTGATAACTAGAATCTGCAGGGAACTCAAATTAATCAACAAAGAAGAGCAAACAATCCTATCATCACTGGGCAAGAGACATTAACAGAACCTTCTCTGAAGAAGACAGACGAATGGTCAGCAAACACCTGAAAAAATGCTCATCATCCCTAATCATTAGAGAAATGCAAATGGAAACCACCTTAGGAAATTGCCTAATCCCAGTGAGAACTGACCACATCACAAAGTCCCACAGCTACAGATGCTGACATGGGTATGGAGAGAGGGGAACACTTCTACACCGTTGGTGGGATCGCAAAGTAACACAGCCTCTATGAAAAAAGTATGAGGGATCCCCAAAAAACTCAGAATAGATCTTCTTTTTGATATTGAAATTCTATTACTTGGTTTCTACCCAGAAGGAAAAAAAAATCATTTTATCATAAGGAATGTTTATCACAGCTTAATTCACAATCACCAAAATATGGACTCCACTCAAGTGCCCCTCGCCCCCTGAACTGTGGTGTACGTATATCATGGAATACTACTCAGCCATGAAGAGAAGGAGAGTTTACATCTCTTGTACTAACCTGAACAGGGCTGGAGAACATTCTGTTTAGTTAAGTATCACAAGATTGGAAAATCAAGTATACAATGTGTTCAACACTAACATGAAGCCAGTAGATGAACTGATACTCACCCACATAAGAGAAAAACTCAATTTAATTCAAGTTGGGGGGACAGGAGAGGAGAGGAGGGCAGGGGTCAGTGTGCTCTCACCTAATAGTAACAATGACAGGGTATGTGGCACACCTCCTGACAGCAGGGACATCACCTAACACATGCAAATATCCTAACCTAATTGTTTGTACTCTCATAATATTCTGAAATTTTTAAAAAAGAGAAAAGAATGAGACTGTAGAGTAGAGCCTCAGTCTTATCAGTGTGTTTGTAAGAGAGACCAGCAAGCCTCGTCCCCGGGACCCAGAGGAAAGGCCCTGAGAGTGGATTGAGAAGGTTGCCACCTATAAGCCAGCAACGAAGCCCTCACCCAAACCAAAGCTGCTGAAATCTTGATCCTAACTAGACTTCCCAGCCTCCAGAACTGTGAAAATAAATTCCTTGTGTTTCAGCCACCCTGAATGTGGTTGGTTTTGTTTTTGTTTTTATTTATGGCAGCCTGAGCAGACTAAAGCAGAGGGAAACTCGTGGACAGAGACTGATCTTTAGCCTTCTTGATGTCAGAGACTTTTATCAGAGACCACCTTCATTGTGACACATTATTACATAATAATGGCCACTCAAGAACGACAGCGGGGAATAGGGAAGTCCTTTTCTTTTTTCTTTCTTTCTTTTTTTTTTGTTTGCTTCTATGTGGGATGGTTGATCTTGAGCCTGGGGAGGAAGCTGGCCCCAGACTTCTCCAAATCCACTTTTCTTTGCCTCCAATTCTTAGAGAAGTTCTTTTCTAAGCAAGTGTTTTTATCTGCACAAAGCATTTAACTCAGGAGCAAGATATAAACATTTCTTGAGCAAATGAATGAACGATTTAAAATGAATATGAACATTTGTATGGAAAAGAATTCACAAAAAAGTTGCGAAAGTTGTATTCACGTGCTGGATAGTCCGAGGAAGGGCACAATGAAAACAATTTGAGTCGTCTCCTCGTGGAGGGGTGTGACATAAATTATGGTTTATGTACTTAGTAGAATCACATGTGATAACCAAATATGAAAGTTATTAATGCCACTGGAAAAATTTTTATTACATATTTCATATTAAACATGTAAAGTGTATTCTGCTGTGATCACACATGAAATTCTGCACACACATGGTCAAAACCTCCTCCCGTCTTATTTGCCCTGCAGTAATTTGGTGTTAGTATTGCTTTTACACTAATTTGTAAAAGGAAGAATATTTATTGAATGACAAATTGCCTCAAAGCTGCCAAATCCACCACTCTGCGTGGTCTGTCCTTTTTCATCCTAAGAAGGGTGATGGATCCCATCGCCTCTCCGGGCCAGATGGCGTGCGCACTTCAGAGGGAACGGAGCTTGGCATCCATTTGAGTCACACTAAGTGTGTGTGCTTAAATACTTTTCTACTTCCTCTAAATCATTACCATGAAGTACTTTCTCTAAAGAGCACAGCTTTCCTTTCTTCCTATGCAAAGGGAAGGTGATAAGTCTAAAAATGGTGAAAGCACCCAGGAGGGAGAAAATTCTGCAAAACTCAAACTATGTTTGCAGTCCTAACCCCTCCTGCCTCCTGTTCAAGGGACAATATTCAATTTCCATAACAGCATTAGATTACTACTTATTAGCAAAATAGTCTTCTGTGCTACTCTTTTACACTCATGTGTAGATTATTTTAAAAGATTCTAGATGATTTGTTATGTTCTTAGAGTATAACATTTCTAAGGGCATGAAATTATTTAATCTTTAGCCTTCTAAAGGCTATAAAATAATTTCATGCCCTTAGTGAAGATTGAATTATTAATTTAATCTTTAGCCTTCTCGATATCAGAGACTTTTATCAAAGAGCACCTTCCTTGCTAATTTTGTGACATATTATTAAATAATAACGGCCACTCAAGAACAACAGTGGGGAAGAGGGAAGTCCTTTTCTGTGCAAGTGCACAAAGCATGGAACTCAGGAGCAAGATATCAACATTTCTTGGCCTTCAGTTCTAAGGGCATTAAATTATTTTGTGGCCATTCCACCCCCTTCCCATGTGTCCTTCTAAGGACATGCTGAAAGCCACCCTGCCTTACTGTTCTCCCAGTGAGGAGGTCCCTTTGTGCTTGGCCTTGGCTTCAGGCCCTCCCTGCTACAGGGATCTCTGGGATGAAATTTAAGGCTATGTGCTGGCCTGACTGGCCATGGAGCTTGAGTCGAGAGTTATAGAGGACATGAGAAGACAGGTAATGGGAATCTAGACAGGGAATGGGCCAAGATACATCAATTTTATCGGGTTTAATATCTGTCTTACGTAACAAAAATATTCTGTATGCCGAGAGAAGCCTGTGAAGTCCCTGGAAGGAACTTTTTTGCCTCACTACTTACTGAGGATTTATATAATTCATTGACATGATTTGTCATTTTCATAAGTTGTTAACCTAGTTATTTCCTTCAGACAAATTTCCTCCTCGAGAATATTTTTTTCCAGCTATGTCAATGCTTTTCTATCTGACCTGAGGGATCAGAGAGAGGGACTCCCTGTCATTCTTCCCAGACGGTGCAGGCATCATGCTGCGCCCTTGACACATTTACGGAATTGGTCATTCATTCAGGGTTCAGCAAACGTCCCTGGCCTGCCAGTTGCCAGATGCTTACGTAGACCTGGGGGGAATAAACAAAAGCCCCTGTTTGTAAAATATACGTATTTTCATGGATTATGTTTTATTTAATCCTCATAATAATGACGAAGTTGTCATTATAATCTACATTTTATAAAGGGGAAGCCAAGGCTAGAAGAGATTAAGTGGCCTGTGGCAAGGCCATGTAACTGGACAGGTGAGAATTTAATCCCCAGTGTACTGGCGTTTGGAGATACAAAGGTGGCCATGACAGACAAGACCAGATTTGGGGTGAGGGAGGGAGTGCAAACTGCAAATGATAAATATACAAATACCTATCAGTTTTTGGTCTAACAATATATGACATAATTTCAGACAGGAATGAAGGCGATAAAATTTAAACAGGGTAAAGGGATATCCTTTGACATGGGGTGAGGGGGTTGTCCAAATACATGGTGATGACAAAAGACCTCTGTAAAAAGGATATACAGTAGCACCGCTGTAAGTTGACCACCCAAGGGACTGTAACAAATTGGTCAACACATGGAGGTCGTCAACATAAGGAACTAGGCCTACTGTACTGATATGTACATGTAGTGCATGTCTAGTGTATGAAAATTAGGTCAACTTAGGGAGGTAGGTGGTCAGTAAAGGAAGATCAACCATGGAGGGTCCACTGTATTTGGGCAGAGACCTGGGTAAGGTGTGCAATGGAGCCAGAAAAAGTGTGGAAAGAGGAAAAGTGTGCCAGGCATGGGGCTCTGAGGTGTGAATGAGGTTTCCATGTTTAACAACAGCCAGGAGGTCAGAAGTGGCTGGAGTGTAGTGCAGGAGGTGGGGTGCAGCTGGAGGTAGAGTATAAGGCCAGGGAGGAGGGTGGCCATGAATCCGTACAACCTGCAGGTGGAGAGCTTTGGTTTCATTTTATTTATTTATTTTTTTGAGTGAGAGTCTCACTTTGTCACCCTCAGTAGAGTGCTGTCGTGTCACAGCTCACAGCAACCTCAAACTCTTGGGCTTAAGCAATTCTCTTGCCTCAGCCTCCCAACTAGCTGGGACTACAGGCACCCACCACAATGCCCAGCTATTTTTTTCTGTAATTGTCATTGTTTAGCAGGTTCGGGCTGGGTTAAAACCCACCAGCTCCAGTGTATGTGGCCAGTGCCCTAATCACTGAACTATGGTTGCTGAGCCTTTGGTTTTAACCTAAGAGCAATGGGAAACCAATATGGATTTTTAAGCACATGATGTTAGTTTGTTTGTGTTTTACACAGAGATCTTCTATTAAATGAATTGTTCATTAGGAAACTTGACCCAGCCTTGAACTTGCTAGGTAATTTTGAATCTACTGAACCTTTTCGCAGACTATTCCCTAAAACAATTTGAAGGCTTCAAATCTTGAAAGCCTTTTCCCCCCTCTTTTCTTTTTCTTTTTTAAAATTTTCACTTTTAATTACTATGGTAACAAAATAGTTGTATGGCTTTATGGAGTACATGCAGTGTTTTGGTACAGGAATATGCTGTGAATTGATCAAGTTAGGGTAATTGGGGTATTCAACATTTCTTGTCTTAGGAACATTCCAGTTCCACTCTTTTAGTTAGCTTTCAGGAAAAGGTAGAAATTTCGACTAAAGGATTGAACAATAATCCCTGAGAAAAAAGTTTAGAGATAGTGGATTCTTATTTCCCACGCAAGAAGTACAGAATGATTCCCATATACCCAAAAGGCTATCACCATACAGAAGACAACGACCAGTGTGTTTTTCTCTTCACATGGAAGAATACTGCGAGATTAAACCAGCCTTGTTATCTCCTGGGTAGTAGTTCATAGTCTGATCTTCAAGATCACGCTGATTCCTAGAGCTGACCTCATTGTTTTTGACTCCTCCAGTGGCGGTGGGTATACTTGCAATCCCTGTGGGAGCTGTTCAATGGTGGTGTTGTGTTTTCACGTGTAGACCAAAATTTAGTGTGTATACTAGCCAGAGAAATATATATGCTAATAGCACTCAATATTTCAAATTCTGCATCTTATTTAAAAGGATTACATTTGAAAAATATTATGGTTAAATGCACTTACCATGTACGTGACACGCACCATCCTTCTCCCTGGGACCCTCCAGCTCAGTCGTGTTAGTACCTTCACAATGTTGTGTTTGGAAACTCTATCCATCACACAGCAACTCCCCATTCCCTTCTCCCTCCAGCCCCTGGAAATCATCACTTTTGGATTTTTAAATTATTGACTTGGGGATAGTAAAGCTCTGCTTATGAGCTTATTTAATTAACAATTATCCATGTAAAAGGGTCGGGCCAGGATCTGGCACACAATGGGCATTCAATAAATGGGAGATATTATGATGTTTTAACATAAGTTTAAAACTGTCATCTAATAGTATATTACTTATTTGTGAGTCCTGGGCCAGCACAGTGGATTTCACACCTCACTTTAGTCCCTTTTTTCCTAAACAGTTCTAAGATAAGTATGTACCCTGTGACTTGTGGGTCCCGCGCACCTGCTGCTGTGACTGCTCCTCCCTGCCCCCTCTGTCACGTCCACTGTCCGCACTGTGACTGCTCCTCCCTGCCCTCTCCGTCACGTCCACTGTCCGCACTGTGACTGCTCCTGCCTGCCC